TTCTCTGGAGAATTGTCAGCACATTTCAAAAACAGAAATGCAAGGCACTTCAATAGCAACTACAGCTACCAACTGGATCAAATAAAATAATAACACCTTGCACAACTTTTTCTCCTACAGAAATCTCACATCTACAAATTATTCGCAATTTACTGGCAGAAAACATGATTTCTGCAAAACTAAAGCTTGCTGTGGGAAAATTTTGTTTCCCCTGACAGAAACGTAGTTCATGAGAACCACAGCCTCCTGTGAACCAGGCCAGAGCACTGAATAATTCAAGTCCCTCCTCCTGCCACGACTTTGCAAAGAAGGAGGGAACTGGATAACATACGCTGCATCAGTCTTCATTGAAAACAAAACCAAAATGAACGCTCAACTATATCCTTAGGAAGGAAGACAAATACAATTCATCCACTAGTGTGCACATCCCTAACTCGACAGCTTTCTTGCCTGGCTGGACTGCAGACCTAATAAAGAGATGTAGTTGCCTTGACATTTTTAGAGAAGAGCATAAATAGAACCACTATTTTCTTCCTCCTTAATTTCTGTTACAATGTTGTCTTGTAATTTCTGTGCAGTATCTCAAATTGAGCATCAACTATACATGGGAAATTATAAAGGATTAAAAAAAAACCCAAACAAACAAAAAAACCCAAACAAATAAAACACCCGAAAAAATCCCAAAACAAAAATAAAACCCAACAACAAAACCCACCAAAAATAAAACCCCACCAGCCACAAACAACCAAGCAAAAAAACCCCATTCTCTTATCTTAAAATGGCTCTTTTTCAGGTGAAGGTACAGATCTTCCCTAGAAGTACCAAAGATAGGACAGCTACCTGTTGCTAAGCAAATGCTAACAGCTTCTTCTAATGTATTAGCATGCTTACGACATAGGAATGAGTATAATTTCCAAATTCAGCACTTACTACTGTCTCAAAACTCTACCCTTCCCATTCTTTAGTATCAGATAAACACAGAAAATAATCTTCCCCAATTAATAACATCATGCAGTCACAGCAGGATTTACATATATTGCTGTTCTACATTTATGACCTTATTACAGTCGATATTAGTATTCACTCCATGTTTAATTTTAAATTGCAATTTCAGTTATGTTTGTCTTGATTAAGTTATACTCTATTTGAATTGCATTGTATCTCATTTTCTGCAATGCAGCCAGATATTTGTTTATTGAATGGTTCCCAAGGGTATAATTTTAATTTAAGACCATTTGGGTATACAGTATGCATCTCAACTATCAGCACACACTATTGTCTATCAGAAGTATGACTGTTGTCTATTAGAAGTATGCTATGTTTCACCTATTTGTTTTGCTGCACAGTGCCTTCATGTACAAACACATCTAGAGATCTAATATATGACATTGAGTTGACCTAAAACAGCTAAATAGTCACAAAATACTCTTCCATTTACTAACTGGCTAATAACTGCATACATACTGTTAATTTTTAGGTGGTAAGACTTTTGGAGTGTGCTTTGACATTCGGTTATTGCTTAAGTATATCAGAATGTGATAAACTGTTTTCAATACATGAAATGATAACAGAACTTAGATTGAGGCCACCCTGGAAAGAGGAAAAACACAGAAGGTTTTTTAGATCACAAAGCTGGACACTGCAAGTTAAAATATTGCCTATTCTCCTCTTAAAACATGCCTAGAATTGCAACCGCCAGTACAGCAGATACGTAAACTTATGTTTTATTCCACCAGAGTCCATAGTTCAACTGATAACCATGGTGAAGTACCAGTTCTGTGTATCCTGGAAAGTTAGATTACAATATAACGAAGTATTCCACTTTATATTTTGCTGTGTTGAACTTGTAAACCACACAGTGGAAATTACCAGCAAGTCCAAGTTATTTAGCTATTCTAATGCAGCTCTACTGGTTTCAGAGACCTACAGAGGTTTGGGGCGAGGAGGAAGAGGGGAAGTCTTTTACTACCCTTACATCATCCATACATGTTGCACAAAAAAGATCAGGGAATAAGAAAATGGAAATAAAAGTGAAACTTAATATTGTATGGGAACTCCCCGATCTATTACTTTCTGGAACTACAGATTGTTCTAACTTCAAGTACAATATTGTCCTGGGTTCAGCTACAGCAGTCATTTTTTCTCCTTCTTAGTAGCTGGTGCAGTGCTGTGTTTTTGACTTTCAGTCTGGGAACAATGCTGATAACACCGATGTTTTTAGTTGTTGCTAAGTAATGTTTACTCTGACCAAGGACTTTCTCAGTCTCATGCTTTGCCAGAGAGGAGGGGAAGCCAGGAGGAAGCAGAGGCAGGACACCTGACCCAAACTGGCCAAAGGGGTATTCCATACCACAGCACGTCATGCCCAGTATAGAAACTGGGGGGAGTTACCCGGAAGGCCCAGATCGCTGCTCGGGTCGGGCTGGGTATCGGTCGGCGGGTGGTGAGCGGTTGTGTCCTTTTCCCTTGTTATTCCTCTTATCATTATTATTGGTAGCAGTAGTGGTTTGTATTATACCTTAGTTACTGGAGAGCTGTTATCTCACCTCGTGGGAGTTACATTCCTTCGATTCTCCTCCCCATCCCTCCGGGAGCGGGGGGAGGAAGGAAAAGGGGGGGAGTGAGCGAGCGGCTGCGTGGTTCCAAGTTGCCGGCTGGGCTTGAACCACGACAAATATGCATCAGCGATCCATTCATTTTCTTTACCACAAGAAATTTATATTAGTCAAGTGAACTGTGAAGCTTGGTACCAATATTTATTTATGAGACTGCTTAAATTCAGATTAAGAAATAATTTGCCATGTTGAGTAATAATAAGCTAGTTTCTCATACTCACATTTTCACAGAATCTCTCTTACCTAGGACTCGCATGTATTTGTCTTCACAACCTAATGTACCCTATTACAATGCTGGTACACAGGCCGACTTACACACTATATATACATGCTTACTTATACCCTTGTATCAAACTGGAAATGCGTAAGAAATTTGCACAATTACTAAGAAGGGAAAAAAACACATTTCACACTAACAAATCAGAATCCATCACATTAAAAAAAAAAAGGGGTGGGGAGGAATCAATACATACAAAACCAACTTTATCACTGCTGCTCAGACATTTGCCACTAGGAAGGTTGACTACGCCCTGGAAAAGCAGGGCAGCACTTGTGTGACAGCTGAATTAAATGTACTGTAACACCATGATTTTTCAGTAGCATTACAGCTTTTTCTTTTATCATAGGAAGTACAGTTCAGCAAAAAATATTCAGTGTGCTTCCAAAAAAAAAAAAAATGAAATGTTTTTAAAACAAATCATTTAAAAGAACAGTTACCTGCAGAAACAGATTCTCTTTTTTAATTTTACACTGGGCCCAGATCTTTTAAACTCACAATTAGAAATTCTTAAGTACGAAAGTTAAATGGTCTGATTTTTTTTTCATATTTAGACTGATGCTTGAGACCTTGGAAAGCTGCCATAAAAAGCTAAAAATATTCTGTAGCCAAGAACCAGAAGATTCAGAAATTATTTGTACACTTTAGAGCTTGAATCTACAAAATCCCCAGCAAATTTTACAGCATTGAAGGCAAGTAGTCATTAAATCTTCACTTCACTCACACCACTGTAAAACATAAAAAAATTAATACAAAACCCTTCAATGTGAGACTAGCCATATGGTTTGCTGACATTTCATTCCTCACTGATGAAATATGAGAAAGGTAAAGCTGTACTCCTTTAAAAAAGTTATAAAAATGTGTAACTATATAATTTGGATTATTATAGTTTATATACATTTGGTTTTCATTAAAATAACCTTTAACTATGCTTTTTAAAATAAGAATTTACAGCAACAGGGACTCTCATAATCATGACATAGTCTTCATTTGCCTCATCAAAATATTGGATCTGTAGCACCTCCATGATCTGGGGAATGGGAGAAAATAGATCATTTGCTGAGTTAAGAAACACTGAGATTCCTTTAGAATGAAGCTCAGATTTTTTCTCCCCATCACACTTGTTCGTTTGCCACATACTTCTACATAGTACAGCACAATTGCAAGGAAGGAGATCTCTTTACCATAGTGTTACCAACAGCAGTGTTCTGTATATAGCACAACTGGAAGAAGCAAAATTACTTATGCAAGCTACAATGCTAAAAATAGCAACTCATTTTCTTCTAGTAACCATAGCCAACAGACAGAATTTCTTTTTCTTTCACTTGATCACATCCTCTAAGATCTCTTGTAGTTTATCTTGGCTAATCTTTGAGAGCCATCACATAGGCACCACTCTCAATTGTTAGCTTTTTTCCAGGACAGCATGACAGTTCTACAAGAGCAGCTCTAAGACCTAGTGAAAATATAAAAGAAAGCAGGAAGGAAAAAAGATAATTATATATAATTGGAATTTCTATTCCATCTGTGCAGCAGACAGCATAGGCTCTGCTGAATCAGGTAGATGACGTAAAGGATACCAAGTAAAGCACTGAGGATTTAACTTGTAACAGCCATGTATGAAAGCTTTTCTATCTGAAGTTGCTTGAAATAAAGCAAGCTAGGAAACAGATACAACATATGAAAACTGCAGAATAGTGTTGGTTTCGTTTGGTCTTAATTTTTATTTTTTCTCATCCAGTCCCATCTGGTCTCCAAGTCTGTATATGCGTAAGAGAAAAAAAGGACAGGGATTTAATTTCTCTCTAAATTCCTGATTCTAACCCAACTCTATTCAAATTGTACATTCAAAGACTTGCCTCCTTGGGTTCATGATTCTCCATATTGCCATTTAAATTATAAATGACCTGTTCAGCAGAGCTCAGAATATACCCCACCGCATCACTTGGAAGTTCCAATCTTCAACAGCATGGACTGAAAAGCAAAAGAAGGTATCCTGATCTCCTCCTAGTTACTTGGGTCAGGAAAAAAAAAAAAAACACCAACAAAAACTTTTGGTTTTGGCATACCACCTCTTGGTTCTGTCCTTTGTAACCATCTTCTTGCAGGCCTGGAAAAAGGCGCATCTATGAAAACCTTGTAAATCAGTTCTCACAATGGACATAATTGTCCTATTGTCTGTGACCACTGATCATCAAGTCATGGCATTTCCTCCGTACAAAACAACTATTGTAGGTCCAGGGCAAGGAAGAGAAGTATTTTCATTAACTTCTTTTACCAATAAGTGTGTAGTTTATAACTCTGCCAGATGCAACATTTCAGACAGAAAGTCTTTTTGAAAGGTAACAACTCTGCTTTGATTTCATGGCAATGATTAAGCTGAAGATGAAGAAAGCAAATTACATCAGACGGCTTTTAAGCTCTCTATTTCTTCACAAATTACAGACCAGGCTAGTATTTTTGAGGATGACTGATGCAAGGCTTTCTTTCACATAAAAGAAAATCTTAACCCTAACTAATTTTTTCAGTAAGTTCTATAATTTTGCTGCACTTATACTGTAAAAAATGTGTGACAAAATGACCTGCCATTTGAAAAGGCTGTGGGATGACATGGGGAAAACAAAACTAATAGTCTACATACATTCCAGTCATCTTTTTAAAAATCCAACATCTACAAAGTACATGGGCTTTTCCACTTTAAAGAACTGAATACCTTTAAAAAATCACCAAATTCCCAGAAAGACAGACACAAGAGAGTAAATCAGGCCAGAAGCCTTTTAGAAAAATTTCTTTTCAGACTAAGTGAAAGCTGAAGGACTGCACAAATTACATTTTACCTAAGCCACAGAGTGATAGTCAAGAGAAGAGGTTCATTTTCTATGTGGTAATATCTGATTGCTAAGGACAGAGAACACCATGTTCCCCAGACTCAGGCGAGATGTGCCTGGCTATCTAAGGTCATTACATCTGGCAGCTCCAGCAGATGCAGAATGGGAAGTTGTCCATTATACATTCTGAAGTCTGATTTGCTCTGCCTCAGGAGGTCTAGGGACTGCTGGTCTTTCTGGATTGTGTGAGGAAACTTTAGGGAAGAAGGGAGGAAACATCAAAAGAAAGTCCTCAGTGCATGCAGAGGTCAGATAGACCCTGCTCTTTTCAAATAAAATTAAAAACCAAACACCCACAATGATGCAAGTGTGATCCACAGACTGGAGACCCAAATGCACTATATACTACCTCTGGCTCAAGAGGTTTTGAAAGCGTGTGGCAGTCTCCAATTGGCAGTAGTGCAAAGTTTGACATTAATACAAACAGGCCAAGACTTGTCATGGTTAATGACAACAATATCTGAATGACCCCTAAACTTCCTATTGCTACTGATACTTAGTTACCAAGTGTTATCTAAACATAAACTTGCGTTAATCTATTCAGTATGCAAAGTAAAAAAAGTCATTCTTGTTTCTTCCTTAGGACTACACCCTGACCATGTACTTCCAGCAGTCCTGGAGGGATAAAAGACTCTCTTACTCTGGAATACCTTTGAACCTAACTCTGGACAACAGAGTGGCTGACCAGCTCTGGGTGCCAGACACGTATTTCCAAAATGACAAGAAGTCATTTGTCCATGGGGTGACAGTGAAAAACCGAATGATTCGACTCCATCCAGATGGGACAGTCCTTTACGGCCTACGGTATGTTGGGCTTTTTAATCACCTATGCAGCTGTCCTGGCAGAATGCAAGTCATGATTGGTAAAGTGCAGTCAGTACCAACGCTGCTCTCCTCTCCTTTTTCCTGGTTTCTCAGTGCAGCTTAATGAGTCAGCACATACTCTATCCAGACTGCCTCAATACACTCAAGAATTTTCCACAGGGCATCAAAACTCCCTTTAATAACTGACAGCCCAATGCCTCTCTTTCTTTCAGCTCTTTTGAGCGTGTTAGCACTACTGGTGAGTTCTTTGTTATGGTTCTCGCCTAGTAATTGATCACAGCCTACAGAAACATTCCTTCCTTCTGAATTGCTCCAGCAGTTCTTTAGAACAATATAAAAAGTAAAACTAGGAGTCACCTGAAGAAATGCAACCAACATTTGTTAGGGAATAAAAAGAAGGCATTTGTGAGTTTACATGAATTATTTAAAGATTATCTACATGTCTGGGTACAGGTTTCTTTAATCTACCTTGGTTTATCACTGCCTCTTCATGTCACAACTGCTTCTCCATACAGTGCAACCTATATTCACCCCTGTACATAAAAATATATTCCAATATCTGGACAGGCACAATCTAATGATAAGATCCAGAAGTATAAATTAAAACTAAACCAAGTTATTTTTTATGTTGAGATTGCTGCAGAGCCTGAGTAGGCCTTGCATTATTTTTAAAAAGTTATGGTAGTTTTGTTTAGAAAAAAAACAACAAAACAAAAACCCAGCATTGCCTGTCTGAAACAACCCTTGATCACTGTCAACAATGAAAATAATAGAGAACATAAGCCTGAAAGCATAATTCAGTTAATCAGGAAAAAAAAAAAAAAAGATAAAATGGAAAACCTAACTGAAATACCTCAAAATCATACCTAAAATAGGATTGAAAAAAACCCAAAACTGCTGCAGCAATTCAAAATGAAAATAAAGTTTGGGGAAAGATAACTCAGAGTTTACTGAAAATCGAACTTTGAAATGACCTGTTGGCCTATAAAAACATAACCTTTATAACGCAACACTACCCATGCATTCAAAGCCTTCCAACCCATAAATTCAAGCTTGATAAGAAACAAAAAATAATTTATAAATTATTATTTTGGTTCATCATGCTTTCTTTTGAACTTGTCATATTCACTGGTAGTGCATCAATTACTATCAGCGACCACACAGGCATTTTGATACAGCCAGGTCTGCTCTGGTGCAGTTGAGAAAAATAAAACAAGGAACCCATGGGGAAATAGCTGATAGGCTACAGGCTCTCATTATCAACTTCTAAAAAGAACATCTGAAAAATATATCTTTCCCACTGCCTTCAGACGTCCTGTAGTTCCTTTCAATCAAACTGACTGCTGAAAATCAGCTTAGCAGGGCAGTTATCATTAGAGGACTTTTTGGCTTGAGAAGTTTTAGAGCTTCAAAAAAAATAATTTTTTCTTAAGGCCAGGAACTAAACTTATTTACATTCCAGGATTTGCATAGTCGCAACAATGTGCATTAGAGCCAAGTAGTCCCACACAAGCTGTTGTAAACAATATAAACTACACCTAGAAATGTACATCACACACGTGCTTCCACACACATGCCATACATTTCTTATTAATAACTGTCTTCTGAAAAAATAGCAAAAGAAGCTGGGACACATCTGGTGAATCTGCTGCAGGTCCTCTCATGCGTTTCATCAACAAAGCACCAGCCTGGCTGAGAAGCTGGGACCTTGCCCAAGCATAGTGCTTCTGTTCTGCCTCTCAGAGATGGTCAGGCAAACCTCCAGTGCAACAGCAAAGATGGTCACCTGCACATAATGAGGCTGCTAGTTCATATGATTAAAAAAACATTCACATTTGAATGGATAAGCAGCAGCTATGCAACTCTGCAACAGCTGCAGCTCTTCAACTTAATACCCCAATGCAGGAAAACCAAACAAAACCAAAACAAAAAAAAGTCCCAACTAAAAGAGTGCAACCTATATTCCACACACTTGCCATCTAGTACTACAAAGACAAAGATAACAAACAAGCAGAAGAAATAATGAAGTTGAGACACTGAAACAGGTTTCATACAACAGACCACAATTATTGCACTAAGTTTGCATCTGTCAGAGGTCACTTTCCTCACAGTAATAAATGTGCTTCTGTCACTCTACAGATTACCTTTAGATCATACAAACAGCAATTTCTTCGTGTACCAGATGACAGAGCTCATAAGAAATAAAACACCAGAAAACACTGCAGAAAATGTTTTTAGGTAAAATTCTGCATTGCCTGTTAGATATTTGAGAACAGCTCCAATCTTAGTCTCACAAGCAAAGAAGAAACTTTGCAACAGATTAGCTTGTGTTTAGCCTCTATGCAGCAGAGAGCATGAAGACAGCATCACCAAACATCTCTTTTTCGCTTTTAGTAATGAAGACAGAGCATTGACCTGGCACGACTTGAACAAGACAGACAACACCAATTATGCTGCAGAACAGTGTCTGAGTTCCCAGTAAAATAGGCAGGGCATTAAACCACCTCTCAAGGATGATTAAAATGCTTGCTTTCCCCCATGCCTCTAATTCCCCACACATTTTTCTATTTTCGTTCCAGAGTTAATGCTTCCTTTCAGCCTCAAATATGAAATTTTACTGGCTTCTTTAAACACAAATTGAAACAATCACAGCAGCTCTAAATAACCTACTTTGCTTGTACCCATTTACTTGGCAGTTTGGCGTTAATGCAATGTTCAGTCTCAGAGTTGAAGAAAAATAAACCAAGGTTAGTTTTCTGGCTTTACAGATGAATAAACAAGGGAAACTTGCACTGAATATGCTGGACTGGTTTTAGATGATATAACAAAGCATTATCAAACTTCAGAATGTCTCCATCTTAATATTTCTGTGATGAAATAACCAGTCCCTTTAGTTATTTTTTCCAGTAACTTTCAGCTGCTGTACCCACGTGGTTTAAAGAACTATGTGTACATAAACTTGTGCAGACACAGAATACTCCTAAACCTTCTGCCTTCTAAAATTGTGCATTGCTGTTGTCTCTTACTGCAAATGCTACTTCTCTTAATTATTTACAGTAGTGAATAATTCATAGCATTACTGAGTAACTCTTTCATCCTATTGCCCAAGCAACTAAACACACATAAACATATTTAACTCCACATTAATATTTCCACTGAACTCCATTTCAAATATGCCAGGGAAGTTGAGTGTCACTGTTAAGTGCTATGGACCTGTTGTGGCTTAACCCCAGCCACCGAGTACCACTCAGCCACTCACTCACACACGCACCCAGTGGGATGGGGCAGAGAATTGGCAGGGTAAAAGCGAGATAACTCCTGGGTTGAGATAAAGACAGTTTAATAGTGAAAGCAAAAGCTGTGCATGCAAGCAAAGCAAAACAAGGAATTAATTCACCACTTCCCATCAGCCATTTCCAGGAAAGCAGGGCTCCATCACATGTAACAGTTGGGAAGGCAAATGCCATCTCCAAATGTCCACCCCTCTTTCCTTCTTCCCATCAGTATTATATGCTGAACATGATGGTCTATGGTATGGAATACTCCTATGGTCAGCTGGGGCTCTGCTCCCCGCCAGCTTCTTGTTCACCTCCTTCCTCACTGGCACAGCATGAGAAACTAAAAACTCCTTGACTGAGAGCAAGCACTACTTAGCAACAAATAAAACATCAGTGCGTTATCAACGTTATTCTCAGACTAAAGCTGAAACACAGCACTGTACCAGCTAGTAGGGAAGAAAACTAACTACCCCAGCCAAAACCAGGACAGCTATTATTATTTTCTGTGGTGTAGCCAACTGCTTCCCGAGAGAAAAAAAACAACAAATAAACCCTTCAAGTCAATATGCAAACCTGTGGCACTGTGAGGCTGGTGTCTGAAATAGCTCTAGCTTGGTCCCAGTACAGCTGGTAGAATACTGGATTCTTCATTATTTTTTCCCTTATTTTTAATAAGTTATCAGATCCCATTAGCTATAATCCTTTTGGCACTAGCAGCATGTCTAATGCCTCATTACTTTCATTGCTTTTTCAGGTAAGATTCTCTAGAAATATCTCCCAAAGATCTAGATTCTCAAACCAACACATGTTGCAGTTTCTTTTGCTTGTCTTTTGTCCCACTTTCCCAGGTAAGATGTAGACATGTAATCTGTCTTTAAGATATTTAAGGAAACTTTAATAATTTACTGTACTGAATTCCCTATTAAAATTCTTACATCAGGATGTTGAGAATGGAAGTTCTGATTTAAATCATCCTTTTCTAGTATTTTTCTGCCATGTCTTAATTCTTCTGAGCATTTCACTAGAAGAGCAGTAACATCTTGTTGCTTCTTAGGTGTCTGTTCTGTTTATTTTGAGGCAATGTCATGATAATATCAGCAGAAATTCATCTGGTTTTGATGAAAGAAGCATATCCTTCAAAATGACTAGTTAAGAAGTGCAACATACCTTCAGTGATACCTTTACATAGATTTCCCTCCCTCCTGATGTTCACACACAAAGCCATCTTTCAACAGAGCAGGTGTTCATTTATTTCAAGGTAGGAAGTAGTATCGTGACAAGGAGTGAAGATCTGGTTTGGAGCACAGAAAACTTTTGGGTTTAGTGAGACCACACATTTTTACACCCCTGCAGCAGAGGATGCCGCTTTGCTGGGCACTATAAGCGCAAGGAGACAGGAGGAAGAACAATCTTTGCCTTCAAAATAAGGACTTACTACATCACTTACATAAAGAAAGTATTCTGTGGCATAAATATTGTCAGGCACATGCATCTACCTCAAACCAATTCAAAAACATGAATTGAGACATGCAACATTGGATTTATGAAATACTTATTCATATGATACCCATGGAAGCCAATCAAGCATACCCTAAAGGTAGAATACAAGAAAAGATATATTTAAATGTTGAATGCTTTGGTTTTAAATATAATCTTTAAGGTAAATCTGAGTGTAAACTTCCCTTCTTGACTCTATTTCAG